TCTTCCTCTCTTTCAAACCGAGGAGGGGAAAGGAAAATTCACACAGCTTTCATTTCTCAAGGAAGGGTTAAAAGTCCGAACTCCCAGGATGGCTCGATGCCCGGACATCCAGCAACTCCCACACAACTGGGCACCTTGCAGCAGCTCCCCCCGCTCCTCCTTCCTTGCGGCTTTCTCTCTCCCTCTCGGGAGAGGAACTCTGGTGGGGGGGAAATGGAGACATCCCAGATTTCTTCCACCCTTCCATCTGCAGGGGCCAGCCCGATTCCAGTCCTTTCACCACCCTTGGGGCTTTCGGCCTACCTTTCTCAGGCCATGGGCTTCCCCTCCCCCACCCAGCTCGTGGCTGGGGGGGGAAGGTCTGTACTGCACACTGACCGGAACCAAAGAAAGCGAGTTCCCCTGGGAATTCTGCTTTCAACCCCTCTGTGTTCTCAGAGGCGTGTCTACTTTCAATTGGTCAATATCTAAATTGACCTCTTCCTTCCGGAAAAAATTATCTTTCCGTGTCAAACCACGACACCCTCTTGCTTTTATATTTCTTTTACACCTTTTATTCCATTTTAGTCCCTGAATGGGAAGTTTCTTAGAGGCAGTGGGAGTGTTGTAGTGACAGAAAACCTCACAGTGGGACCACGCTCTGTGCTGCCCGCCCCTGCCCCCATCCCGCCAAAAACACAGCTTCTGCCTAATGACTTTAGGTCATTTGAAACCCTGCTTGGTATCATTTGAGGTCATGATTTGGATTATCTCAGGTCAATGGGGTCATTTGAGGTCACATTTGGGGTTATGTCAGGTCATTGGGGTCATTTGAGGTCACATTTGGGGTTACTTCAGGTCATTGGGGTCATTTGAGGTCACAGGGGTTACTTGAGGTAATTTGAGAATTTTTTGGTTTTTCCAGGGATTACTTCAGGTTGTTTGAGACCCTGCTCAGGGTCGCTTGAGGTCACATTCAGGGTTAATTCAGGTAATTTGAATACTTTAAAATTTATTTTATAATTTAAGGGTTTTTTTAGAAAATCTTTACTTGAGTTAGCTTGGGATGACTTGAACAGGAACCTCAGCCTGCAGAGACTCTGCCTCTGCACTCTGCTGTCCATAACACCCAGCCAGGACTGCAGGACAGCAGACAGGACAGCTGGACACCGATGGCCACAGCACACTTGGCTCAGGGTCTCCAAAGCCCTGGAGGTTTGGACTTCTCAGCTGGAGGAAAAGGATGGGAGACCTCAGCTCTTGGTAGCCATTAGCAATAATCTCTGGTGATCAATGGGCTCATGTGAATTGCCATTGTCTGCTTTACTTTCCGGATTTCTGCCACACCTCTTGTGGGGAGCAGACATATAAAAGTCGGGAGGGATTGGTTCAAATCTTCTTCCAATGTTCCAACGTTGTTAAAAAGGTAGTGATAACTAGGGTGTGTGAAGAGCAAATGAGAGGCAAGGAGGCCCTGAGAGAAGAAAGTGTGCTACAAACAGTCTTAGGGCTGAGGGGATGGGTGTTCACATCTTTGCAATGGGTCTGGCTCTCCCTGCTGGCTTTGGGCAGCAGGTTTGATACCGGCCCTGGCAGCCCAGCCCCTGAGAGAGACAAGGCTCTGCAGGCAGCTGAAGCGCTGAGCTTTGGGGGAAGATATCCCCCCTTCGAGGGGAATGTGGGCTAGGTGGTTTGGGAAGGCTGCACCTTCCCGGCACCTTGGCCAACACGGGCAGCACGCAGCTGGAGTTCGGGGTAATAGGAGGTGGTGCCCTCCCAAACCTCAGGAGAGCAAACCCTGTGAGCTCAAATAAAGTCGCAGGACTCCTCTGCCTCCTGTTAAAATAAATAAACTAAAAAAAAATATCTCTGGCGTTTGTGGCTTTTTCTGACAAGTTTATTTCAAATACACAGCAAGATCTCAGCTGGACACATTTGTTTCCAAAGTCCTGCAATCACCAAACACCAAAGCATATAAAACCACCAGGATATTACACCAGAGATTTAACCACAGTATTTAATCAGCTCTTTCCAAGCAGCCCACGGAGGCTGAAGTCTGTGCCTGGGGCTGTGGGCACAGAGCACCAGGGCAGCTTCCCCCCTGCCCTCCTCCAGGAGAGCAGAGCTGCAGCACGCAGCAACCTGACACAAGGTTTTGGCCCTGCCTGGCAAACAGCAGCCACAGCCAGGCCTTTCCTGCCAGAGCAAAGGGCAGTCATTCCCACCCTGCTTCCAGGAGTGCAGAGGTGGTTCCTTCCTGAGAAGCCTCGCTGCATTGCTCCCATTCCTGAGCATCCTCGCCTGACCTGTCTCATGGAAGGACAGTTCAGCCATCCCGAGAAGCTCCAAGAATCCCCCTGGACTCTCAGGGTCACTGGGCATGGGGTCTGGCTGGATATAGCCCAGCAGGAACCGGAGATTTTCCAGAGCAGGTGCAGCCCTGGGCATGGGGATGTGGCCCAGCTCCTCCATCAGTCCCCTCCAGCCAAACTTCTCCTGTGACCCTCAGAAAACTCATCAACAGCAGCAGTTCAGTTGCAAAGTTCAGCTGCAGGGTTTTCTGCTGAAGTCTTTACAGCTTCCTTTTCCTGTTCCTGCCCCAGACTGCAGCTCCCAAGTCAGCTCAGAGCATCTGAACAGGTCAAAGGAAGAGTGGAAACTCCATATCCCTTAGCAGGCACAAAGACACCCATTCAGTGCCAAATGCTTTCCTTGCACACAGACACAAAACATCTCCTAATCCTCTTTTCGCCACAATGTGGGAGTTGCAGTTCTGCTCAGCAGGAGGAGGAAACTCCCAGTTCCCCCTCCCGCAGATCAGCTCTTGAGACAGCTGTTCTTGCACCAAACTCTGAAATGTTAGTGCCACACAATCTTAAACACATTCCTGTGAACCTCAAATGCTCCAGCACATCACCAGAAATTGCCATTTGAGCCACTCAACCCCCTGGATGTGCCAGCCCAGCCTGGCTCTACCCTTGGAATCGGGGCTGGGTTCCAAGCCCACGCATGAGTACAGGGTTGTCTGAGGTCCTCTTTTGATCTGCTGGTAAAAGAGAGAAATGGGGAAATATGCAGTCATCTGGTGCTAATGTCAGACATAAAAAGCTCAGGTTTCCTTTGAAACTGATGTTAAATGCTCAAATAAAACAGTTTTATCTTTCTACTCTTTAAAAATAAAGTTACCAGTGAAAATGGCACACCCAGTTCCAATTTGCTTCCTAGATGAGTCCACTGATAGTGGAAACATTCAGGATCCTCTAATTAATGTTACAGAAAGCTGTACTTAATTACTTCTTAAGCACTTACATCTGCATAAAGTTGCATTACACTGAATATATCATCATTTAAATCCCTCACATACACATAAATATGTATCAGATTTGCATTGCAAATGTCTCCATCTTCTGATTTGTTAATCACAAATGTCATATCTAAATTACTCCAAAGTGTGCAGTTCTGGCTTACTCACCAAATAGTTCCATATTAAACCAAATATGCATTATAGGATAAAAATCACAATAAAATAGGAGGTGGAGTTCCTCAGGGTAATGGAAATCATTACCAAAGTCACTAGAATGATTCCACTGAAATCAGCTGTCAGTGACAGCTGCTGTGACAGACTTCCTAAGACAACAGAAAAAAAAATATGGTTTAGTGCTAGAAAAACCTATTTATGACTGTTTTCTTCAATTTCCATCTAGAATTAATAAGTGCTGATTTGACTGCTTGAGTGATGAGCTGGAGACATTAAACCAGTTCTGTGGGGCCTTGAAAATTCCCGCTGCAAGATCTGAGCTGGTTGCCTTCAATGCAAATGCCCCTGAGTTCATATATGTAATGAATTTCTGTGAAGCACAGCACTGTCTCATCTAAGATCATCTGAAGCCAAGTTAATAAAATGCTTCTTTAATTAAATGCAGCTTTCCGTGTTCTTTTTCAAATGGAGCAGTCGGATGAATAGACAGAGACATTGCTCTCCTCAGCCCAGACAGTCATTACAGCCCTTTCTCAGCACCAGCCACAGCAGAGGGTCAGGCTGAGCCCTGTGCCATGAAACTGTCCCTTAAATGCTGTCATCCATCACTGCTGGCTAAAGAACCAGAAAAACCCTTCTGAACTGGGCCTTCTTTGGGCACTGATCAATGCTATGGAGTCAATCACAGACTCCAAGGTTTTTGGCTGGGAACTTTTAAAATTCCCAGCTGCAAGTGCTGCTGAATCCTGCAGGACAGACAGGATCAGGCTGCTCTGGCTGCATTCCCAAGGCAGCCTGGCAAGCCCAGAGCAGCTGAAGCAACGTCTGGGCTTGGCTTTTTGGGCATGCTGGGAACTGTGGGTAGCAGCTTTCTGCTCTGAGGGGCAGGTGGGGACTGCCTGTGCATTCCCTGGCCTGGGAATTACACTCAGTATGAGCACCAGGGCTTCTTGGGCACGGTGTGTGCCGAGCTTTCCAGAGGAGGAGGCGCTGCCTGCAGGGCAGGAGGAGTCTCAGAGGATGAGGGGTGGCAAGCAGCGGGGAAGCCAGCACTGTCATGGAAAATCTGGGGAAATTATTCAAAATTTGTTCCATGAACCATGTTCCATGCCCTGCAGAGGAGATGAGGAAGATACACCAGCCCCACAAACATCAGAGAAATCCATGGAGAGTCCCAGAGGCCTCTGTTGGGGTAGCACAAACATCTCCATGACAGCACTGGAAGCTGGAGGCTTCTCTGTTCACTGAGCCCTGCTGCCAGGTCCAGGCTTCTCCCAGAGCACTTCTTAGGGACACTCCACTCCCCAGGGAAATGCCCTGCTCCCTTTGCACCTCAGGGGCCTGGGCAGGGCACTGGGGTGTGGCACAGCACCTTCTTCCAGCCAAACACAGGCTGCTCATCTTCCTTGAGAGCCTTGTGACTGCTGCTGTCCCCACACCATTCCTCACTCCCAGAGAAATGGGGACTGTGCTCTAAGCAAACAGCTGTGTGAGAACAGTTCCTGCCAGGCATTACAGAGTAGAGATCCAAGCCAACAGTGAACAGCAAAGTGACAAAATTACCCCTCCATTACACCTGGAGGTAAATGAAGAAGTCAGTCAGCACGCGTCAAGTAGGAAGATCACAGGACACCCCTGGATCCCTGGAAGTGTCCAAAGCCAGGCTGGAGCCACCTGGGATGGCGGAAGGTTTCTGTGCCACTGGCAATTAGATGATCCTTAAGGTCCTGTGAAGCCCTCAGCTCTTGCTGACCACGGGCAGCAGCTACACGTAGGCATGGATGCCCAGGGCCGGCCTCTCCGCCTGGGGCAGCCCTGCCCGGGCCAACCGGGGGTGGCTGTGCCTGGCAGCCGTGCCAGCCCGGCACCAGCAGTGGCAGTACATGGCCCCCGCGGCCAGCAGCAGGGCAGCGCTACCCCAGCCCACGTACAGGGCAGCGCCCAGCTCCCGCTTCAGCGGCACAGGCACCTCGGGGTCGTAGAAGTCACGGATGATGCTGCCCCCGGTCCAGGAGACCGGGATCAGCACCAGGGTGCCCGTGAGCAGGAAGGCAGCCCCGGCGGCCAGGATGAAGATGCTGACGGCCCGGGGCCCATGCGTGCCGCGCCGGGTGTACTTGACCCCCGCGATGGCCGTGAGGAAGGCCACGACGGCCAGCCCCGCGGCCAGGCACATGAGGGCCCGGAAGGCCTCCAGCAGCGGCGGCAGCGCCAGCACCGAGTCATAGAGCTTGCACTGCAGCCTGATGCCCAGCTGGCTGATGCAGTCCATCCACAGCCCCTCCCAGATGGTCTCGAACACCACGATGTTGCCATCCACGTAGGCGGACACCCTCCACTGGGGCATGGCCGTGGCTGCCAGGGTGCCCACCATGCCCACGCCGCCGAAAATCAGCCCAGTGATCTGCAGCATGCAGCAAGCCATGCCACCCCCAGTCCTGCTCCAGCTCTGCCCAGGGTGGCCAAAGCCACCTACTCACAGGCAGCAAGAGAGGGAAGGTCTCCTCCAGTGGCTCCCTCACGCGGCAGACTCAGTTTCTGGGGAGAGGCTGGCTCCAACCCGGACTTCTGACAGGTGGAGATCCATTCCTGCCTGCTCCAAAGCCCTGCTATTTATTGGCCTTGCAATCCCCTCTGACTGCAGCCCATCAAGCCGGGCAGGTTTGCAGCCAATGGCAGCCTGGGAGAGGTGGGGCAGGGCTGATTTCACTGCTGTTCACAGGGCGGCTGAAGTGCTGCTGCAATTAAGCAAGTGGCACGGATTCAATTAAAGGTGCCTAATTGCAGGGCTAACAATTTTTTAACTGCAAGGTTGCAGCTCTGTTGAAATCCAGTACAGAAAGCCTGAACTTACATCCACTGAATTGTTTAAAATGGGTCATTACGGTTGTTCTTACAACAAAAGCTGAGCTTGAGGCTTGAGTGGGGCTTATTTTTGAAGTGCTGTAGCCCTGGGAAAACAGCTGATTGTTATTTTCCTTTAAATCAAGCCAACAGGTACTTGGTGTAGCCCTTTCTTGTAGATTTCTCATTTTGAACAAATACAAAAGCCTAATCAGAATGTTAGACAGGTACAGGAAAGTCAAGTATTCCAGCCAACATCAAAGCTTTGCCCTTGCAGCTCCAAAATTCACCAGGGCAACAAAGCAAAGAAGTGGCTGAGCTTCATAGCTGCTGCTTTTGAACCCAGGAGCAGAGGCACAGCTGGGAGCTAATCCTCCAGGAGAATCAGAAGGAAAGTGTTGTCATCGTGTGCCACACCAAGAGTCTCAGGTGACACTGGGGACTGAAGGCCATGCTCTGGTGTGGAAAGGATGTGCAGGGTGTATAAGGCACAGCTCCAGAGTGCCACCCAGCCTGCCCAGATCCCTGCAAGCCTGGGCAAAGCCCTTCCAGAGGCTGCTGTGCCAACTGCTGCTGCACTCTGGCTCTGGCTGCTTTCTTCTCCTACCCTGAGACAAGGCTGGACCAGGACAACTCACAGTTGCTGGAGAAGTTGATGTGCTGCTGCTTACTCCAGCTCTTTGAACCAGTTAAAAAATATAAGTTAAAAAATCGGCCCACCAAAGACAATAAAGGCCCCTAGAAGTGCTGTGGAAGAAAGGCTGTTCTGGGGTTTTTTGTTTGTGTGTTTGGAAAATAGCAGACCTTGCCTTTGATGGTATTAATTTAATTACAGCTTTAGGTACCTACACAACATGATCAAAGCCAGATCTAAAGCCATGAAAAGGAAACTGTTCACCCAAGCCATCCAGAGCCCAGTTACTTCTTGGAAGGAAGGAGGAAGAAAGTGCCAGATAATGTAAATTATTCTGTATGATGTTACATTTCCACGTGGAAAATGCTCCCAAGGGATCTGGGCAACTCAGCTTTGAGTCTACAACCAGGAATCTGGAAAGTAAAAGATGTCCTCAGCTGAGGTGTGAAACACAGAAATAAATGCATCACCAGGTTTGTACTTACAGGAAGAGGAGTTTTAATTCACTCTTCCACAGACAGAAGAGAAGAACCCTGTGATGCAGGAATTTGATGGACTTCGTTCCGTGCCCCAAAGGAGGAGATGAAGTCAGAGATGGGTCTGAAAGAAACTCCCTTAGAAGAGCCCTGCACACAGGCCTGTGCTATTACAATGGAGCACAGCCTCCATCCATCTTGCTGGACTTCCTTTACTTCTGAATTAGCTAAACTGGTTTTTATTTTTCTTATTTTAACTCCAGAGCCAGAAATCAATTTATGATGGAAAATCTCTCTTAAAACCAGCGTTTAAATGTCTTTTTTTTTAAGCAGGAAAACTTTTTGTACAACTTTTGCAGGCAGGCAGCTCCTGAAGGTGAGCACAGTTGGAGCCCAGACCATGCCTAATGCCCTGAATCCATTCTCCTGGCTGCCTTATCTGTCAGGGCTGCTGGGAAATAATTCTCCCTTGGATGCTCTGGGAGGGTCAGCAGCTGAGGCCATGCGGAAAATCACCAGGGCATGGCTGCAGAGAAGATGAAAACTACTCCGAGAAATAGGATTAAAATGCAGCAATACACCCAGGAAGTGCCAAATGGCTGGGTGGGGTTCCTCTTTAGCAGGAATTGGAGCCTTTGGTGGGTGAGACCCTGTGCAGGGAGTCAGCAGGAGAGGGGGACACCCAGGTGACACTGCTCTGGGTCCAGGGTACACCCAGGTGACACTGCAGCAGAGGGAAACCTCCAAATGGAATCTGAAGGCAAATTTCAGGAGCTTAAAGGAGCTTTACAGCTTTCAAAACTTTACAGGAGACAGGCTGGGATAAAACCTAAAACCACTATGAATATCTGGGACCTGGAAAACCTCCTGAACCTCCCCCAAATACCAGTGAGTCCCTGACTTTGCTAAGCTGAGGAAAAAACGTAAACACAGGTAAATCCTGTGTTTGGGTCAGCCTGGAGGGGCTCTTACAGCCCTGTGCCCCCCAGAGAACTGCAGCTCCTTTTGGAGGCTCTCAGAACAAGGGGCTTGGCTGGCTGAGGCATTTCCAGACCCCCCTGAGCAGCACCTCTCTCTCACAGCACAAGCCACACAAGTGCTCCCAGGGTGGGCACCACAGATACCAAGGATTTGGGGTCAGATTTAAGGAGGAATTGAAAGGAAATCCCTGCTCACACATGACTAGAATTGGGATGCCTTCTCACCATGCATCATCCCCCTGCTGTGCTATTTGAATGCTTCCCTGCCTCAGGAGGACAAGACCAGTTCTTATGCAAACATGTCCACCCCAAAATCTGTCTTCAAAGAAGAGAATGGCAGCACTGTTGGAGCACATAGCCTTTACACCTCCCTGGATCTCTCTCAGATTTACATCTACTCTTCCCTTCAAATCAGGCTGTTCATTTGAATCTCTCCCCAGGGCACCACCTTCTACTCCCTCTCTGGCTCTTCAAGTGCTGATGCCCCTTGGAAAGGAAGAAGTGGAGCATCCCCAGCTCACAGGACTAACAGACCCTGTCAATGAGCCTCAGTATTTAATCAGTTATAGGCACCAATAATGTCAACACTGAATTGCCTCCCCTAAAGCAGGATTAATCCCCCTTTGAATAACCTCTTTACCTTTCATTTCACAGTGCTTATCCACACACATGCACCTAGAGAGGCGCTAATCCAGGACACATGTGCAGTCACAATGCCCAGAGCTCATTCTGTGCTTGCAGCAGCAGCAGCAGAGAGGTTGTGCTGCAGCCTAATGAGCTGAGCTGGAGGCTCAGGAGCACTCCTGGAGCAGGCAGATATGGAGATCTATCAAAGGCACACTGCAAATCAGTTCTTACCTGGCTTCCAGTGATCTCCAGCTCCCCAGAGCCTGGCAGGGGCAGCCCAGCAGGCTGGGGCTCCGTGGGCTCCCTTCATCCCTGCCCTGGGCAGGGATGGACCCTGCTCTGCCAGCAGTCCCTGCTGGAAGGGCACAGGGAGCTGTGAGCCTTTGGTAGGAAGCACCTCTGAGTGGCACCAGGTCCTTCCTGCCCATGACTCTCACTCCCCAGAGTCTCCTGCTGGGTTAACCACGCTGGTTTCAGCTCCTTGCAAGGCTGCTCAAGGAAAGCACGCTCCACTCCCACGGCTCCATCCATCCCTTCCTGTGGTACTTGCATTGACTGCTGCAAGACCCTGCTGGTGAAACAAAAGGTGGTCTCAACTCTGTTTTTACTCCAGGAGAAAATGGCCTGAAGCAAACAAAGGCCTTTTTATTTGTGCTACCTTTAATATTGCAGCCTGCTCTTCTGGTCTGTTTGTAAGGTTAAAAGATGACCTCCTCCCCCCTCTCTTCAAGGTGAGAGGAGTGTTGGGAAGGATGGATAAATATAATTATTCATAAATAATATGGCCAGGATGAGAATAGTCCTCCCTGCTGGCCGGACAATGCCCCTGCCTATGGATGGGTCCAGGGGTCAAGTGGACTGTTCCATCTCAGCCCAATGTATGGTTCACCCCGCACCTGTAACCCTCCCCTGAAACATCAAGTGCCTGTAACCCCATTGGCTCAAGCCTTGTTCTAGCCCACCTTGAAGCCCCTGATAAGGGGCCCCCAAGGGGCCGGACATCCTCTTGGAACTTCCCCTCTCTTGGATCTTCCCCCCTCTTGGAACTTTCACCGTCTCCTAGAGCATCCTCTCTACCCCTTGTCTCTCCCCTCCTCCATCCCCTCAAGCCTTGCCACGTGCTGCATCTGGCAGCTCAAAGCAGGACCTTTCTCCATCCCTAATAAACCTTATATCCCAAGAGCAAACTTCAGAGATCTCTCGTCTCCATTCACCTAAACCATCCTGGAGCACAGCTCTCCCTACAGAGGAGCACCTGCTGTGCTTATAGAAGGATTTCCCAGCTCACCTGGGGCACTCTAGCTCCAGCTTTGAGACCCCTGCCTGACGCTGGGATTGTAAGAACTCAGTTTATTTTCAGTCACCTCTTGCAGCACACCCGAAATCCCCAGCCTGACAGAGCTGCCAGGCTCTGGGTGCTGCCATACCTGCTGGACACCGAGGAACCTGCTTGGAGAGTAATGAAACCTCACAGTAATCAAATATTAAACACTCCTCCGAGTAGTTCATGCACTAGACCGCTTCAGGCTTTTACAAGGAATTTGTCACCTCCCCACCTGCACAGAGGGAGCAGGACAAGCTGGCAGAAACAGGAGCTGCCAGAAAACTGCTGTCTTACTCTGCTGATTACAGACAGCACCTGCAAGAGTGTTTGGGGGCTTCTGATGGCACTGAGCTCTTGGAAAGGCAGCCAATTCCCAGGGCAGCACTGCTTGCTTTGGTGCATGCCAGCAGCTGGGTGGAGCACGGGGGAGCTGCTTTATTTGGGTGCTTTCATGGTGAGGAAGAGAAGGGAGATTGTGGCAGCCATGGCCTAAAGACAGGTGAGAGGCAAGGTTTGGAGAAAGAGGTGATAGCTTTTGTT